GGTTCCTGCCTTCTCTGCCGTCTCTCCTCCGCGCCGTTGGTGCCGTGTGGCGGTTGTTTCTATTACGCCGACCTACCCAACGGACTTCTCCGATAGACGAGCCGAGCTGTATATTTATAAATCGCCTTCCACCATGCCGAGCCGATCTGAAGAAACCCTAGATTCCCTCTTTGATTACGAGGCATAGATTCGGACAAGTCGAGGCGCCATGGATGGCGTTGATTCAAGCCGAGGCGAGGAAGACTCCTGCGCGGGCGTAGCATCATCCCGAGGCGATAGTCACGGAGACGCCGAGCCGTGCGACTGTGGCGACCACGGAGCTAGCGAATCCGATGTCAAAGCTACTCTCGGTTGCGATGGTGTCTACCCCGAAGCGAAATCCCCAGCCGACCAGGGAGATGGGATTGCCGAGGCGAGAACGTGCGACCGATTGGTGGATGCCGAAGCGGCATCTTATGGGAGTTCTAGCGAAGAATCAGTAGGTGATACTGGGAGGGATTTTCCTGCGAGATCGCATCATGTGGAGACCGAGGAGAACAAAGTCGAAGTTTTGACGAGCTCCTCCCGTGGTATGGTTCCTGTTTTTGATAAGGCTGCCAGATTTGCTGAAATCAAAGCTGAAGAGGAGACTTTTTCGTTTGACCTAATGGAAGTGAAGTGCGAGATCGAGCGTTTAATGGCAAGCCGAGCTGCTTCTTCCTACGTGCGAACGAGATCGCGAAAGAAAAGGCAACGACCGGATCCTTCTGGCTTGTCGTTATCTTCTCCCGAATCGCTGGGTGGTCTTAGGGTTCGTTTTGGTATCTCCCAGGAGGTGGAGTTCGTCGTACCGACGCCCAGCGACCGTGCTCATCTCCTGCCCTCCGATCATTTCACTTTGTACGAAGCATTCTTCGACCTATGCTACCTATCGTTTCCCACTCCCGAGGTGATTCTTGAGTATCTTTGGAAACACAGGATTTCTATTGGTCAAATCATGCCGAGGGGTTTGCGGCATATGACCAGGATCTTGGTGCAGAGTTTCGAGTGTCATGTAGACGTCCAGCTCGATCATTTACTATTTTTACTGGAGATTCGCAAGGCTCCTGGCGGAAAAAAATTTATATTTCTGCTAAGGCAAATCGTAAGATAATCGGCGGCTTTCCCAGTAAAGATAGTTTCTGGGACGAACGCTTCTTCTTTGTTCGGATTAACGAGGCGTTGGTTGGCGACGGCTTCATCAGCAAGACCAAAACTGATTGGGGACCGATTGGTATCCGATCGATGTCTTGCCTCGGCTCGGAAAATGTTTTAGGTTTTCGTTTTTTTTTTTTAACCTTTGCTTTCTTGTTTCATTTTGCATTTCGCGACTTTATTCCCCGGTGCCCTGACGATCTGTTCGAAGTTCGGGATACGCTAGCTGCCAACCGAACCCATTGGAAACGCCATTTCTCGATGGAAAGAGTCGAACAAGCCCGGTCTATTGCTGCTGGTGTTTCAGTTAGCTCCGAACTATCCAACTCATCGGGCGATACTCGTGATAAGATGGTGATGGAGACTTTCCGGGAGAGGAAGAAGAGAGAAGTTGAAGAAGCGGCAAGACGAGCCGAAGAGGCTGCCAAGAGAGGCGAGAACGAGCTGAAAGATGCGCAGCAAGCTGGGAACGAGGCACCCATGGTCGGCTCGGGGGACAAAGGTGACCAGAGCACTGGTCGTGAGGAAGGCGAGATTTCCCCCGAGGCAATCTCTAATGTTCCCGACGAGCAGAGGTCCTCCGCTGGTACGACCAAGTCGGCCATCCTCGCTCTCCCGCATTCGCCGAGGCCCCCGACTTCAAAACTTGTGAAGCACGAGGCGGCAAATCGCAAGCATTTTGCCCAATTGTTCTTCAGGATCAATAACGACAAGGTTTCTTTGCCGCGCCCCAAAAACCTTAAGCGCCCGAAGTGTTACGCCGCGATGGCTCAGCGTGGTACCAAGGTTGGTTCCCTCTCATTTTAACCTTTCTTAGTCGATTTGTCTGGTTATAATTCTTTCTCCCTTTTCCTTTACCTTCAGTTTATCGCCACGGTGAACGAGCTGTTAGCGGGCTACGAATGCGACGCGCTCAAAGGTGAGCGTCGTTTGGTCGAGACGAAGTAGGAGGCCGCGCAGTCGAAGGCTGAGTTGGACAAGACGCTGGCTCGAATCACCGCGCTAGAGGAGGAGCCGAGCTCGAGAAAATGACGACTCGATTCGACGAATCTTGTTATCGGAATAACAACGAGATTGCTTCCCTGAAGAGGCAAATCGCAGCAAAGGACGCACTGCTCGAATCTCGAGTCAAGATTGCTCAGAAAGAAGCCAGACGCGCTGCCGCGGCTAAGTTTCAGGAAAGGCTCCCTGAGATTGAAAGGAAAATGGGTGATATGAAGAAAGCCAAGAGGGACGAGAACAACCTTGGTCAAATTCGGAGTAACCTCAGGCTAATTGGCGATCTCCAAAAGCGAGATGCCAATCTCGATTCCGAAGAAGAGAAGCTGAAAATTGGGAGGCTGAGCTGTTGGGAGGCAAGGAGATGTTGGAGCGTGCTGCAACAGACTTGCGGGAGAAGCTGGTTGTTTTTCCGGTATCTCCGGATTCCGTCGATTCTCGCTTGGGGACCGAACCGCTAGAAGTGACTGCGGCTTCAGTTGGAGTTACGAATCCGACCGGTTCGAGCATTGACACTCCGAGGGCTACCGATCTTGCGGCCGAGGGCGTTCCTGAGCTGCGTGGAGGAGATCAGTAGTACTTTCTATTTTCGTATCGACCTGTACTGTGTCGTGCCTGGATGGCTTTATCCATATCTTTTGACTTATTATTTTTTTTTCGTAAACATTGTGCCTAGATTGCTTTATCCGTATCGTTTGACTGTTGATCTCCTTGTTGGATTTATTTGGTAGCAATCTTATCTATCTTTCCCCTTGGTCATTTTTTTGGAATTGTTGCTTTTGCCTATAGCGGTTCATAAACTTTTTGAAGAAACTGTTATTGGACCGAGCTGTCACTAATTGGTTTGTCGAGCCGGGCCAAGAGTGCTTTTGTTTTCTTTCCTGGCCAAGCTGTTACGAAAAATCGATAGAACACCGGATAAAAGAATAGGCTATCTTGGTTTTTCTAGAAATCGAATAGATTCTGTTTAAGTTAAAATCCCGAGCTGGGAGTAGCTTTGAGGTGTGTCCTTGTTTGGGTAACTCTTACAAAAGAGATTAACGTTCTTTTATGTCTCCGACCGTTAGTGCCGAGGTGTTGAGTTGAAAGGAGAAGATGTATAACTAGGTATTTTAACTTGGATCTAGTTTTGAACTTTTGATGCGCTAGGTTTGAATTACTCGTTGCCGAGGTTCATGTCTGAGTAGACAAAATTGGAATTTGATCGTAGACCGGCGTTCCCGATAGGGTGAATTCGTTTGCCGGGTTTTAAGAGTTCGGCTCGGTTTTAGGGAAAGCGATGTAGTCTCGATTATAATCTCGTATTCGATGGCGAACAGTGACGACCGATACGTTCTTGGTCTGAAATTTGTATAGCACGCTTTATTTTAATCCGTAGAGGATGTGACTTGCACCCTCGTCCTAGGAAAGGTGGTAAAAGTCCATTTAGAGAACTTTGTGATTGTTGTCTCGTTGTGACCAGCAACGAGACGAGGTGTTCGAAGCATGAAACGTTTTGCCGAAGCAAAATACAAGGACATGTAAAAGTCTAGGCGAAGTGAAAAAACGAGTGGTTTAACTGAATGAAAACGAGTTTCTAGAAAATTTCCAAAATGACAGTAAGTAAATGAACCCAAAAAATCTTGCCGAAGTGAAAATTAGTGAAAGAAAATCTAGCCGACGTGAAGATAATCTTAGAGACGGAAGACTTGCCGAGCTAAAAATTTTTAAAATGATGTAAGTATAAGTGTATACGTGCCCACTCCCCCCCTTTTTTAGGAGGGGGGACAGCTGAACCCGTCCGAGGACGGGTTGCCTACGTACCCTTTGCAGGGATCAAGCCGTCTCGTAGTTCACGTTGAACGTGTTGTAGTCTTAGTGATAATACTTCTTTAGGTGCATTGTGTTCCACGATCTGGGAATTGCTTCGTCAGCTACCGTTGCTTGTTCGTAGACTCCTGGGCGAACTACTTTTGTAATTTTGTAGGGGCCTTCCCAATTTGCTCCGGGCTTTCCTACATTCTTCTCTGCAGTGTTTTGGAAGATTTTTCGAAGGACGAGCTCTCTTTCTTTAAATCTTCGGCTTCAGACATTTTTGTTGTAGTATCTTGCCGTTGCTTGTTGGTAGTTCTAGACTTGGATTAGAGCCTGGTCGCGCCTTTTGTTGATCAAGCCGAGCTCATCCAGTATCATTAAGTGATTCAAACCTTCCTGTCCTGGCAGAAGTCGGCGTCGAATTCCTGGGAAATCCACCTCGGGGGGGATTACGCACTCTGTTCCATAGACGAGAGCGAATAGAGTTTCTCTAGTGGCTCGGCGCGGAGTCGTCCGATACGACCAAAGGACTCCTTCGAGTTCGTCTTCCCATCGTCCTTTCTTGGCGTCGAGCCTCTTTTTCAGACCGTCTAGGATCGTCTTATTAGCTGCTTCGGCTTGTCCATTCCCCTGGGGATATCTTGGCGTAGATTTGCTCAGACGGTTTTTTAATTTCTTGCAGAAAGCTTCGAAGCGAGTTGAGATGAACTGGGATCCGTTGTCGGTGAATATCTCGTAGGGGACTCCGTGTCGGCAGATGATATTTTTCCTGACGAAGTGTTCGACTTGAGCGTCCTTTATGCCTCGAACCATTTAGAAAAATAATTTGTAAGGACGAGCAGAAAACGCTTCTACTTTGATTGATGTAAAGGCCCGACTATATCCATCGACCATCTCATGAAGGGATAAGATGACGAAATTGACGACAGCAGCTCGGTAGGTTGATGGATTGTAGGCGCGTGCCGTTGACACTTCTCGCACTTTGCCGTAAACTTCTCGCAATCCTTGACCATCGTAGGCCAGAAGTAACCGTGTCATTTTATCTTGATCGCGAGTGACCTTCCGCTAGAGTGATTTCCACACGCGCCGCTGTGCACTTCGTGCATTATCTTTCTTGCTTCTGGTCCCTCGACACACGTCATTAGCAGTCCTAAAAATCTCCATTTGAACACCTCTCCGTCGACGAGGACGTATCGTGCGGCTTGAGCCCTTAATTTGCGGTCTTCCCACTTGTTGGATGGTATTTCTCCATCGGCGATGTAGACTCGGATAACTCCGAGCCATTCCTTGTCGCAGCCGTACTCCAGCTTGGTTAGCAAGGCGTCTTCTTCCACGGTGATTGCTTCGCCGTTCTCAGGTTCTTCCTCGGGAGGATTGATCAGCCGAACTCCTTCCACCTCCTCTATGCTTGGACGTTAGATAAATTCGACTGGAATTGTTCGACAGAGATCCGGGTCGGAGGTTGAGGGAAGTGCTGCTAAGGCGTCCGCCGAGGTGTTTTCACCTCGGGGTATTCGTGTGAGCTCGAACTCGTCAAACTTTCGTACCAGATCTTGGACTACTCTAAGGTAAGCTCCCATCCTTCCATCCTTCGCCTCGTACTCTCCGTTAAATTGATTTGCTACGAGCTGTGAGTCACAAAAGACTCTTATTTTCCAAACTTTGTTTCCATGCGCTAGTTGTAGGCCAGCGATCAGTGCTTCGTACTCTGCTTCGTTGTTTGAGGTGTGAAAATTTAGGCGAAAAGATTGCTCCAATATCTCTCCGGTGGGAGAGGTGAGACAGATTCCTATTCCTGAGCCGTGTTTAGATGACAAGCCGTCGACGTGCAGCGTCCAAATTTCGTCTGGAGTTGGCTCGGTTGTCACCTCGGTCGGAAGTTTGATGAGAAAATCTCCGAGCACCTGAGATTTTGCAGATGACCTATTTCGATACTCGATGTTGTACTCGTTCAACTCTATGACCCATTTGGCGAGCCGCCCAGATTGGCTCGGGCTGTGCAGGATCGAGCGCAGCGGAAGGGTCGCGAGCACAATAATCGAATGTGATTGGAAGTATGGACGCATCTTGCGAGCCGATACTACGACGGCTAGGGCGACCTTCTCGATCTGAGGATAACGAGTCTCGGCATCGGTCAATGTCTGACTGACGTAAAAGATGGATTTTTGTTCGGATCGCTCTTCTCTTATCAGTACTCCGCTTACGGCCGTAGCGGATACAGCGATGTAAAGGAAGAGGGGCTCTCCCTCTACTGGTTTCGCCAAGACCGGCGGGCTTGCTAGATAACTCTTCAGCTCCTCGAAAGCTGCTTCGCATCGCTCGTCCCACTCGAACTTCTTATTTCCTCAGAGGATGTCGTAGAAAGGCAGACACTTGTCGGTAGATCGGGAGATGAATCGGTTTAGCGCAGCGACTCTTCCTGTAAGCCTTTGAACTTTTTTCTTCGTTCTTGGAGAGGGCATTCCGACTAATGCTTGATCCGCTTGGGGTTTTCTTCTATGCCTCGGTGAGTCACTAAGTAGCCGAGGAACTCTCCCGAGGTGACTGCGAATCTGCACTTCGCTGGATTTAGTTTCATGTTGTGCTAGTTCAATTGCTCGAAGCATTCTCGTAGGTGTGCGATATGGTCTTTTTCTTCAATCGATTTGACCAGCATATCGTCGATGTATACCTCCATGGTTTTTCCGAGCTGATCAGCGAACATCTTATTGACGAGCCGTTGGTATGACTTTGTAGCAGTAAATCCTGCGATCGGTTATGAACGTCGTCAGGATGCATCAGGATTTGGTTGTAACCTGAAAACGCGTCCATGAACGTCAACAACCTGTTTCCCACAGTGGCTTCGATGAGCCGGTCGATGTGCGGTAAAGGAAAACTGTCTTTTGAGATCTGTGAAATCTACACAGACTCGCCACTTGCCGTTCTTCTTCTTCACGACCACCGGAATAGCAAGCCAGTCCGGGTACTTCGCCTCAGCGATTGATCCTACTTTGAGCAGTCTTTCTACTTCATCGTTAATGGTTTTAGATCGTTCGGGACCGAGCTTCCTCCTTTTTTGCTTGATCGGTTTGAAGGTTGGGTCCACGTTCAGCTCGTGACAGGTCACGTCGATACTTATGCCCGGCATATCTTCCGCTGTCCAGACAAAAGTGTTGATATTCTCCTTGAGGAAGGAAGGAGTTTGTTTTTCAAAGGTTCTTCTAGCTTAGTTCCGATCTCGACGCGCCTCTCTGGATGCGTTTCGTCTATGCACACCGAGTCCACCACATCACATTCGTGGCTCTCCGCGAACTGTAATTGCTATAAGAGTTTTGAGAGCTCGTTAGCGGGCTCTCGATCCGTCTTCAGATTTTTGCAATCTACGTCTGCTCGTGCGTCGGTGACGGGGTTCTTCAACTTGAACTCCGTCCGGAAACACATTCGCGACTCCTTCTGATTTCCCCAAATCGTTTTGATGCCTGCTGGAGTTGGGAATTTGAGGCAGAGGTGATAGGTGGAAGGGATCGCCCTCATCGCATTGATCCATGGAGTCCCCATGATCACGTTGTAGATTGCTGGGTGATCAGTGACAAAGAATTCGACGATATTAGTGACTCCCCCGGACACCACGGGGAGTCTAATTGTGCCCATAGTCATTGTCGTTTCTCCTAAAAACCCGGTTAGAGATTTAGGGATTGCCTTCACCTCGGAGAGATCGATTCCCATCCTTCTGAGTGTCTCCTTGAAGATAACATCTACCGAGCTCCCGGTATCGGTGTAGGGTCTATCTATTCCTGATGTTTCCTCTTCGGCGAAGGAGATCACCGTGTTTGGGATATCGGTCGGTTCGGTCCAATTCTCCGTCGCTTCGGCTCAGCGCTGATAGGCTTTGATGGAAGATACCGTGACTTGGTAATATAGGATCCACCCATGATCATGTTGATTCTTTGTCTTGGCTCTGGTCGTTCTTCGGGTTCACCTATCCTGTCGCGCTTGGCGTTATCGCCTCGTCGGGACGGATTTGCGGGTTCTGCCGCACTGCTCGGCTCGGTTCTCTCTTTTGGCTTGGTAGGGACAAGGTCTTTAAGATTCACCGCGCTCTGGAGCTCTCCTGCTGCCATTTTAGCCACGAGTTTTGCTCCTAGGGTTCGGCATTGTGCCATCGAGTGCCCGTAAGTTTGATGAAACTCGCAGAACGCATTTTCGTCGTAATTGGAGGGCCTCCTTACCTAAGTGTTGCTACGCGGCTCTCCCCTTCCGCGTCCAGCGCCAACTTGGTAGTTGTGGGCGCCTCCGCTTCTTGGTTCCTCTGAGCTTTGTGTTGCTGCGCTGCTCGAAGGGTTACCTTTCTTTGGAGGGCGCGTCAGGATTGAGCTCTGGATTGCTGCTTTCGTCGTTTCGTACTGCTCGTCCAGATTTTTCATTTCTTCTTCATTTACGACAAAGTCTGATGACTGATGTATGGCATCCTGGATCATTTGCAGGGTGTTGAGAGCCATCTACCGTCGGAATTTGGATTTGTACCACAAAGATCGCTTCAGATCTTCGAGTGCAGCTTTGTCGCTTATTCCTTCTACTTTGGACACAACCGCCTTGGATCTTGCCATGTAGTCTCAAAGCAATTCGCTCGATCCTTGGGATAGCGTCCATAGATTGGTGTCGTAGGTTCCTCGATCCATGAACATCGAATACTACTTGAGGAACAAAGCGGAGAGCTGTTGAAAACTGCCAATTGAGTTACGCTCCTGTCTCGAAAACCACTCCAGTGCGGCTCCCTTGAGATGTTCTACGAATAGTAGGCCATATCCGGCGTCTACCTCCCGCTCGGTCAGATTGGCAGCATTCCTTGTGAAGGCTCGTCTCATTGCTATCCGGAACGCTGTGATGTGCGCCTTTGGGTCAGTAGTGCCTTTATAGAATGGGATTCTAACTTTGCCGGGCTCGGGAATCCTAGCCTCCGTAATTCTTGCCGTGAACGGTGTTCTCTGGGTCTCCTCGAGCATTCGATCAATCTCTAGCGCGGCGCTTGTCGCGTTATGCACCTGAGGCTTCATGGCGCATAACTCGGCCATAGTCCGAGCCATTGAGGCTCGCAGCTCTTCGATCTCGAGGGTTTGCGTGCGGGTCGTTCTCTTAGATTGGGGAAGTCGCTCCTGATCTTCTCTCCTTGGCTCGTCTTCATGCTCCACCTGCTCGACCCATTGGAGATTTTCCTCTTCCTCAGTTGGGTTATCATCGCGAGCCGGGTCGGTGACTTCATCAGTCTGAATGCCATTTAAAGCCGAGGCGAGCTCTTCTTGGCTTATTTACCGAGCCAAGCCGTTTTGTTGTGAATTCCTGGTTCCGTCGTCTTGTTGGGCGTCCTGGTCGTTCTCCTCTTCGTCGCCTCGTCGCCTTGAATTCCAACGAAGTGGAGGCAGCTCGTTCATGTTGATTCGGGTTGCTGCAGAAGTCTGTTCACCGAGGGGACGAAACATCGGGGGAGCCATGGAATTTCTTGCGCTGCTACCCGAGGCTCCTGCAGGTGTTGAGAAATTGAAGCGTCTCCGGACTCCATCCGCTGGATCGGATATTCTGGCTCTCCAAGTTGGGTGTCGTCTCTCAGCCATCATTGTGTCGAGTCTTTCCGTAATCGCCTCGTTCCTATTGTCCTGCTCGTCGATCTTCTTCATCAATGTAGCCATCATGTTTCGCATCTCCTCTTGGGCTTCAGTTGTCGCCGTTGTTGTGCCCTAGGGTGGAGCGCTCCTCTCCACGCCGTTGTCATTGTTGTTGTTGTTGTTCTCCTCGTCGGGGGTGTTGCTCGCCATGTTCTTCAGATCTTAAGGTCTTGTCGATTTTAGAGTAAGAAAATTTCGAGTCCCCTTAGACGGCGCCAAATTGTGTGAGCCAAAACTCGCACAATCCAAAAATTTGATATGGAAAACTTAAGGGATCCGAAATTTCTAGGGTTTATCGCAAGAACAGTAAGATCGAAAGAAGGTTTTTGCAGAAAAGTGTTTAAGTCTTATTGCTCTCGAGTTGTGAAAAGTTACATAATGAATCGCGTAAATCGTCTATTTATACTAATTCTCTAAACCGCCTAGCCGAGAATCTCGGCAGAGATTTTCGGAATATTTCTTTATCGTTTTGTGCGGCCACCGTTGTAATGCTTTTGCCTAGGGTTTCAGTGGGCTCGCGTCCTTAACGACTTTGGCTCGGCCCACAATCACTTGTGCACAGCTCGGCTCATCTTCTCTCGTCACGGCTCGGCCCATCTGAGCATCCTTCACGCGGCTCGGCCGCTTATTGCCTCCTCGCGGCTCGGTCCATTTACGACGTTGGGCACGGCTCAGCCCCACTTCTCTGATGCGAGAGTTCGGCCCATATCTGATGAATTTACTGATTCCTCTTGCCAAATCGGCTCTCCTCGATGTTTAATTATTCTCGAGATGGTTTAAACCGGTTGGGTGAAACCGACCCCAACACATGCCACCCGGATACAAGAAGAAAATTTTCTAAGCATGTGACTGCTAAAGTCATGGCGGCTCTGCTGAAGTCTAAGTACGAGAACGCAACAGTTGGTCCACGTGCGAGTGAACTACCTTCAATTGTTCTCTCTGAATATAATATTACAGCCTTGTACTAGAAATGCTGGAAAGCTAAGACGTTGGCTATATACTCTGCGCACGGAACAGAGGAGACTTCTTTCAAATTATTACCGATTTTACCTCCATGAGCTCAAGTATGCTAACCCCGGCACCATAACGCATTTGTCAACTGCGAGAGATGAAAAAGGTATGACAAGGTTTAAGTCTGTATTTATGGCATTGGCTGTGTGTAATTTTGGATGGAAACACTTGAAACCGGTAGTTGTTGTTGATGGAACGCACCTGATTGGTAAGTATAAGGGTTGACTATTAATGGCCAGTGGACAAGATACTAATTACCAAGTTTTTCCAATTGCGTTCGCCGTTGTCGATGCAGAGTCCGACCAGACATGGAGGTGGTTCTTTGAGAAGTTGGTATACATTGTTCCAGATTCCTCTGAGCTTACTATTATCTCGGATAGGCACGGTGAAATTGCCAAAGCTAAAAAAGACTAGTATCCACAAGCACACCACGGTGCATATCTTGTCCATATCCAGAGAAATGTTCACGCTAAATACAAAGGTTCCGGTCAGAAAGGTTTGGTCGGAAAGGCAGTAGAAGCGTTTACAGTTTCTAACTTCAAGAGACTATATGCAAGGCTGAAGGATGTTGATTATAGTTGTTGGGAGTACATGGAAAAAATCCCTCTTGCGCTGTGGACTCGATCAAACTTTTCTGGTCAGAGGTATAATATAACGTCCAGTAACATTGCGGAGTCTCTGAACAATGCACTATTTGCAGCAAGAGACAGTCCAATCGTTGCAATGCTAGAATTTTTCAGGCGAATGTTAAGTAGGTGGCTTGAATGTAGAAGAGAGAAAATTCAAAAGATGGATGGTGATTCCAGAAGAAGTTGACAAGTTAATGAACCTGCAGCTTGAAAAATCTGCTGCCCTATCGGTTCAAGGCATTTCTGCGTGGGAGGTTGAAGTCAGTTCTGAGTTCGTAGGTGTACGGCGGCATGTAGATCTTCTAAACAAAATATGCACGTGTCTAGAGTTTCAGACATTGAAATGTCCTTGCTGACATGCAATGGCTGCGGCTAGGCTTCGTCAAGTGGAGTACAGCAGTTTAATTGATCCAATTCTTAAGAAATCAATTTGGAGTGCAACAGTTAGTGGCAAAATCCTACCAGTGCCCGACCCTGACGACATTCGTATCCCTGCTAAGGTGCGTGACCTGAATATTATGCCACCAAAGACAAAACGTCAATCAGGAAGGCCTACTACGAAGAGAAAACTTTCAGCAGGAGAGTATCCTCAGGTTAGTATACACCTAAACAAATATTTTCCCCCAATCATAATATTATTGTTTACTGATATATGCTGTTGCAGGTTGCGAAAAAGAAGAAGCCAAACAAATGCTCGAGATGTGGAAATCCTGGACATAACCGGGCAAAATGCAAGGAACCATTGGGTTGACCGGGTGTGGCTTTTGTTGGGTTTGGAAAGAGCGTTGGTTTGGTTTTTGCGGGGGTCTTGTTGGTTATTGTGGGTGGATCTCGCTTTGGTTTTCGGATTTTGTTTCCTTGCGTAAACTACTTTATTTTATTTAAACCTGCCAAGGCATGAACTATGTTATATATGTTATCAATTTTATGATGTACACTGGACAAGGTGTACACATTTTGTGTATGGTAGGCACGGTGGACAACATGAATCAGTAAACATTATATGGTGTACGCATATTAATATAGGTGTACGCACATTATGGCTTAGGTTTAAGATTTAGGGTTTAGGGTTTAGGGTTTACGATTTATGGTTTAGGGTTCTCTTGTTTAGGGGATCATAATAATGCAGTAAAAGACATGGTTCTATAGCAGAGAAAGAAAATTCCAAAATATTATCGACAAAACAGACAATGATCGTTTCTCTGAAATGAAATTGTAGGATAGGACAACATGAATAAACGGTTTTTCCAAAAATCAATTCATTACGTATTTGAAAAACTGCAATATTGGAAAACAGTGTATGACACGAATAAACGCGAAAAATCAAATACGAAACAACAAAAACTAATTAAGTACCTTTTTAGAAACCTGTTTTTTTGTAAGCACCGTTGAGCGTCTCGTTTTCCTCTCTTAAAACTGTTTTTCCTCTCGCCCTCTATAAAAACCGTCCCATCCTTCTTCAGTCAAACAAGTTTCATGAGACAGGAAAAGTTAAATACCAAAATTAATAGTTACTCCCCAAAAATGTACTCCTCCAAAGTGATCTCATTGCAATTGAAGGAAGTGGAGAGGAAAAAAAGTTCATCTTTTAGTACAGGTATTTGAGGGTTATTTTGAAAATAGGGTAGTTTTTAAGTTTTAGGTTTTGAGGATTAGTTAATGTTTAACAGTTTTCGGTCTTTTACATCGTCTACCTAATTGGTGTTTTGCCGATTTTATTAGGACTTGTGGGTGAGGACTTGTATCACTGGAAAGCTATCCTATTGGGGCCTAAAGGTTCACCCTATGAGAATGAGGTTTTCAAACTAGACATTCACTTTCCGCTTGAGTACCCCTTCGTGCCACTGAGGGTAAGGAATGAAGCATATGATTGCTGTCTCAATTTTCCGTATTTTTAGTTAGAGATACCTTCAATAAAGATTTCAATTCCTAATAACATTGTGTTCTTGCAGGTGACATTCAAAACAAAAGTGTATCACCCAAACGTGAATACTTACGGGAACATTTTTCTTAAGATGTTAAACCCAACTCACTTCAAGACCAACAACAGCATCAATGATGTATTTTTACTTATGAAAGAAAGAAATCATTATTGTCTTTTGCTTAATTAGTCTTAATATCGATGAAATCAGGGCTTAAGTGTGTCTACATCTCTATGTAATCAGGTATTCACTAAAATACACCAAATGTTAACTGCCCCCCCTCCCCCCCCCCCAAATAAGTGAAGGACATTTTTTTGTTGAAAACATTGCAAGAATTTACGTGGAAGATAGGGCTGCTTTTGAACTCACTTCACTTGCATGGACGCTGGAGCACGCCGGAGCATGAAATCGTCTACTTATTTAAATAATGAAAAATCTGTTTATGTTATGTTGAATTGTTCTTTTTCTTTGGGAAAAAATATGAACACTATTTAATTTCGACTTAATTATTTATTTTAAATTTGGTCGTGAATTTTGTTAGCGTCTTTTGCCGAACTTTATGTCTTTATTGAATTTTTTTATTGATTTATGCTTTAGTTGTTTAGGATTTGATAAATTGTGGAAGCATTTGTTATTTTCGTTAATAATTATGTTAATAAGTATCCGATATAAAACTATAGTCATCGAATATTAATTGAAAGATTCGCCATTACATAATATAAATGAAATATAGGTGTACACTTCATATAGTACACACATAGTTGTGTACACTCGGAAAGGTGTACACCATAAACATATTTTTAAAGCATTTCGCAGATACACATAGCAAACCAATATATGAAGTAACCATTGCAAAGTACTTGGAACTTAGGTTCATCATGATCAAATGCACAATCAGGCGGCTTGATGACGTCGTCATTTGGATATGAAAATGAGTCTAAGTAAGTGTCCATGTATGCAGTACCGAAATATGAAATCTCAAGAATTAACTCCTCACCTAATTGTCGCACGCGCTCTGACTGTAGACTTCCGTGATTGGTTGCCAACTGTTGCAATGTTTGGCTTACGGAACAATGGCCACCCAAGCAAACGCTGAACATGGCAGACGCCAGGGTCGAGAGAGCATTGGTGGGTACATTTGCTTCCAGTATGCTCCTACTTGCAATGAGATCGGCGCCTCGGGTTGCAAGTCTTAGGTCTTCCCAGTATCTTGCCTCAGGGTTTCCACTCGCCAAACATTTCAGAAAGAATGGGCGTCTTTCGTTTCCAGGGCATATTTCGTCGGGGACAAAACAAAGGGCATAAATGTTGCAAGATTTGAGGACATCGTCGGTGAAAACAAGCCGGAGTGTACGCTTTCCTGCACGGACAAATGGGCCGAGTCGCCAAAATGCTTCACTGCCGACCCTCTTGACAATTTCGAGAAGAATTTCATCAGGCAAGTTTGGGAGAGTCATGTTTGGAAATAAGATTGGTTGAGGGTTTGTTTTTGTTAGAAATAAGGCAAGTTTAGTTAAGACAATGTAAAGTCGTCAAATATGGACTTCACTGGTGTGTGGTTGAGGGGTGGAGAATTTATGATACAGGTGAAAATAATATAATAGGTTCTGTCAAAAGGTAAATTTTTCACCTAACCATTTTCTAACCAGCATTTTTTAAGAATAATGGTCAGTTCGCTTTTATTAAAGTGCCCGAAACCAGCTTTCTTTATAATGTACGACGTGTTCGGGTCAGTTTAGCAGTTATTAAAGTGGCTCTTAACTTTATACCAACCACGAATTAGGACATTTATATATCTATCCACCCTGTCTACAAATAAATCGAATCAAATTTATTTGTCTGCACACTTAAACAACAATGCACTACTTAGACGATGATGTTTTAGGGTTAATAGTAAAGAAACTAGCCGAGGATAACTCCTACCATCTTGGCTCCATCATTCGTGCAGAAAAACATGGAAGAGCCATCGCACTCACTGACGACGTGTTACGGTCTGCAGACATCTCTTGATTGGTTGAGTCACCTCTCGACATCTCCCCAAACAGCCCTTACCACCCATTCTTTGAACGTTGTATTGGTGCCTACAATCCACGATCTATTTATTTCGAAGCCATTAGAGTTGCCGTGCGTGAGCGAAGATTGTATTCAACGATTAGGATGCTTAACCGACTTTTCCCATGTGACAAACATGCTACTTTTGCATGTGCCATGTTTGAAATTTGCGTCGGACGTCCATGAAGGACTTAAAAACTCTTGACGTATCTCTTCACCCTTCACGTCCCTTATGCGGCTAATCAAATGAAGCTGTTAGCGCACGACGTTATACGTCACGTCTGGGAGTTCGCTCTAGGGCCGTCTCAAGATATGTAGGGTAGCCTTTGGTCCTTCCCCATTACCCTACAAGAAGAACCTATATCGGAGTGTGTAGATGAGCATTACGATGGCTCCAATACACCAGACTGCGAGTATTGTCTTCTACAATGCACGGCTCTGCGCGTAAGATATTTTCTTTAGCTATTCTCGATGTTTATTTTGGTAGTTGAAATTTGTCTGTATTAGTTCTTTTGCAACTAGTAGTTTACTTTTTTTTTTTGCATCTATGACACTAACAACTACCTTCATTAGTTATGTTTTGCAACCACTATGTAAACTAACTAAATTAAAGGACCAAAGTAAGTAAACATCACTTCACAAAGTTATTGTAACAACTGGCTATATTAGTTCTGTTGCAACTACACATTAAACAAAACTAGTAAGAACGTAACTAAATTAAAGGCTCCAAGTAAGTAAACATCACTTCACAAAGTAAGTAAGATAACTAATTGTCTTAGCATTAACTATTTCTCAACAAGAACAACCTATCGAATTCAATATAATAAAGATACAATGATGAAAATATTGAGAACATAGTTCATCCAACACAAACCCTATAAACTTTCCAAAAAAATGAGAGATTTACCGGATCATGTTTTTGAAATCATTGTCAAGAAAGTAGCTAAGGCTGACTGCATCTACCTTGGACTGATTATTCTAGCAGGGACACGGGGTAGAGACATTGTGTTTAGCACGGAAGTGCTCAGATCGGCAAGCCTATGGCGATTGCATGACCCACCTTCGAGATTATACCCTGGTGCAGTATATCGGCCTTTTTTCATGCGCTGTTTAGCTGCGAGAAATCCACGTGCCAAAGAGGAGAAGATCTATACCGCCATCAGGATGCTAAACAAGCTTGTTCCATCAGATGTCTATGCCACTTATAGCTGTGCCATTTTGCAAATGTTCCTGGGTCGCCCTAACAGAGGCAAAAAAACTTCTAAAGATGGTTTTCAGGTACCACTATCCTCATCATTCATGTGAACTTTGTGAAGTGGCCGAAGAGCTAGTATACTTATTCATGTCATTTTGCCCACGTAATAAAGATACATACAAGCGAATGTTCAGGTACCCTAGACTCATTCATGAAGAAACCAACCCCTCCTGCGGAATGTATCACTATGATTTGGATTATGTTAGTACTTGTGAAAATTGTTATCTTAAATGTTTGGTATATCGCATAGCCTACATGCTTTAATATCTATGTGGTATGGTCTCTTGTTTTTTACAATATAATATTTCAATATATTTTATTACATAATTAAATATTAAGTTTCTGGAACTGTTTATGTCCAGAAATATTAAATTTATGTCCAACCACATAAATTTATTTTATGTTTTCCTGGAACTCTTTATGTTTTTGCTTTACAGTGTAATAGGTAATTGGTATACGTATGTTGGTGTACGTATATAGGTGTATGCTAATAGATGTACGTAATTAATTAATGTCCAAGCACTTTCATTTCAAATTTTTTAAAGAGAAATCAGTAATTTTTTTAAATTGCAAACAACTTTATGTCTGAAATCGGTATACGATCTCATATACCTATGTAGGTGTACGTATATAGGTGTACGTAATTAATTAATGTCCAAGCACTTTCATTTCAAATTTTCCAATTCAAAATTTGTAATTTTATTTTTATTTAACAGCTTTATGTTTGAAATCGACATACGATTCTGTATACGTATGTAGGTGTACGTACATACGTGTACGTGAATAGGTGTACCTTATTAATTAATGTCAATGAGATAAAATTGATGTCCAAGCACTTTCATTTCAAATTTTTCAATGAGAAATTAGCAATTTTTTTTTAATTTGAAACACCTTTATGTTTAATTTTTACATTTCTCACATAATTATCATAAAATCTACTAATAAGAAAGATAATGTTTTACAAACATAAGAGTTCCAACTAGAAATACAAAAGTAGACATGCAAAGCAAAACCATCTCTTGTAGTTCAAAATACGAAGACAAACATAAATAATTAAATAGACACGACATGCAAATAAATACAGACACATAAGTTAACGGCTTTCACCACTAGAGCATCAACGGCCAGCTTGGAACGACGTTACGAATGAAGCAGAAGAACCTTTGGGTCTCTTGGGCCCAGAAATAAGTTATGCACATTGGCTCCTTAAAATCTTCTTCATACCACTGGTGCCAGTAATTAATAACCCCGCAGTGACAGGTGTACAGCGCATGGAATCTCGTTGCAAAGGCAGCCGCTTTCTCTGTGAAATCGATTGGCAAGTCAAAATTTCATCTGTGTGGAACGGGGGCCAGCAAAGTCCTGCTCATATTCCTCCGATTTTGCTTGGTGAGCCTGCCCAAATAGTCCTCAGCACGGACGAAGTCTTCCGGCACTGCTCTGAGCCACATCCCGTACACAAAAATGGCTCGGTCGTAGCCTCTCTCCGCAGCATCCCTTATCAATTCCACGCCTTCACCATCGTGGAAAAAAAAAGTAGGCTTGCATCCCCCTCTGGAAAATAAACCCTGGATTAACTGCGTCATAAAATCTCCTCAGCATCGTTGGGTAATGTGGAACCGCCGCAGATTCATGGAGGATGAGGGCAGGATCAATCGATTGATAGAAACCCATGCTTCTGCCCATATTGTTGAAAGGAGAACATATAGCACGAAGGCAGGCTATTTCCCTTAAAGATGGGTTTGTAGCGGTCAAAATAGTTTCTAGCAATTCATCAGGGAGTGAGAGAAGATGGCAAAAAGCACCAACACCACCTCTGTTTCTCCTTTGAACCATGATTTATTTCGATGAAAAGAGAAAGAGAATGGATAGAAAAATGGATTAAGGCAGAAGAGAATGGATTGAAAGAAGAAGTTATGATGGTTCTCAGTAGGATGTTATGGTGAAGGGATTGAATTTAAAGAGGTAGTGCGGTTTAAATAGAGCCGAATAGCCGTCTATGAAGAGAGACGTTGAACAGAGACGAAAATATGTCTTTTTGTTTGCCCGCAAAATTAAATTACTATAATAAATACACAGCATAACCAAATCCAAGCAAAATGACGTATTTAACTATCAATGCTTTATGAATTTTGATTTAATTTAAATATCAAAAACAAGACAGAACTAGTTTATCATAAATTTTGGAAACTATATTTTCTTATCATCATTAGCTTTTCAGTTTTCTCAACAGAGATATGGAGCACAGATTGAGTCCACATTGACGAAATCATTATTAGTTTTTCATAATTATGCGTACAGAGAG